TAACGTTGGAATAGGTCCTGAAACTGACGTCGGAAAACTCTATATTGTCCAACGTTGTAACTACATTGTCCGAATCACCTAAAGATCACTTAAGCAAAAAAGGTTACAAGACAACGTTTATTCGACGTCGCAGAAGCTTCTACTTTGCTGTAGTACTAGTCCAACGTCGGCACAACGTTATAAAAACCATTAAATTTATTTTAATACCCAAGGTAGGGAGCTAACTATTTTTTGTAACTAATCCAACGTTGTGTTTAGTAAAAATGTGGTCGCAAGTCGTGAAAATGCTACTTGGGCTGTATAATATGCCAAATACTAAAGTTTATAAAGAACTGAGTTTACGAATTAAAGCTGGTATAATGATATACAGCTTGTTAAAAAATTCATGAAAATAAGGCTTTAAATAACAAAAACTTGACAGTTTAAATTTGAAAAAATAACAGTTTAAATTTGAAAAAATAACAGTTTAAATTTGACTAAAAATTTCTTCGTTGCGTTTTTTTTTGCATATGAGTGTATATACGTAAACTGTAGAAATGTTTATTTGTTTGCAAGATACCAGACAGTTTTGTGATTGTATAAAATGTCAAATATCTGATGGTGTTCAGTATATAAATATGAATACGATGAATACTAAATAACGAAATATCCCTAGATCATATATATATATATATATATATATATATATATATATATATGAATATATATATATATATATATATATTAGTTATATATGAATATAACTTCCCTTGTTTATATATATATATATATATATATATATATATATATATATATATATATATATATATATATATATATACAGGGTGTTTCAAAACAAATGCGAAAAACTTCAGGGGGTGATTCCTTGTTCAAAATAAAGGGTAGTTTGCTTTATAAACGTTGGGTCAAAAGTCAACCATTAGGGAGATAGCGCGGTACAAAGATGGCGGAAAAATAATGTTTTTATTTTTTATCTTGAAAACGAAAAGAGATAGACTAATGAAATTTTATGGGAGCATTACTGTTATGAAAACACACTTTCTGGTAATTTTCTCACTTTTTTAAAACGAGTGGAAGGGGTTGAAATAAACTACCCCTATTATTCTTGTTAACGAAATTTAAAGAAAAATCTTATCAAACACATACAAAAAAATTAATTTGGATATTTTAGTTTGTTTAGAAACTTTTTTATCTCTTGTATTTTTTTGATAAAACTCATCGATTTGAAATTAAAAAATAAAATGTAAAGCATTACATGTCAGGACAAAAAACATTTTCTGATAAAGAATCTAGTAGGCTGCTGTAATTTTTTTAGGAAAAAATCTAGTCGGCCGCTGTTACTTTTTAGGATGTTCCTAATATTATTTTATTTGACATTACTCTACTGCAATACGTTATTATCTAGATGATTATTATTATCGTTATTATCACTAGATTCTTAATCTAAAAATGTTTTTTGTCCTGACATGTAATGCTTTACATTTTATTTTTTAATTTACAATCGGTGAGTTTTATCAAAAAAACGCAAGAGGTAAAAAAGTTTCTAAACAAACTAAACTATCCAAATTAAAGCATTTGCATGTGTTTGATAAGATTTTTCTTTAAATTTCGTTAACAAGAATGATAGGGGTAGTTTATTTCAACCCCTTCCACTATTTTAAAAAAATAAAAAAATTACCTGAAAGTGTGTTTTCATAACAGTAATGCTTTCATAAAATTTCATTAGTCTATCTCTTTTCGTTTTCAAGATAAAAAATAAAAACATTATTTTTCCGCCATTTTTGTACCGCGATATCTCCCTAATGGTTGACTTTTGACCCAACGCTTATGAAGCAAACTACCCTTTATTTTGAACAAGGAATCACCCCCTGAAGTTTTTCGCATTTGTTTTGAAACACCCTGTATATATGATCTATAACTAGGTTAATATCACATGTAAAGGTAATTTAATAAACTGGAATGAAATTACTATAGAAGATATACTTTATGATCCAAAAAATATTAAAGTAAAAAACTATATATTTCTTTTAATGTTTCTAAAGAGAAATATATTTTGTAATTAATTTTAATAGCATGACTATGTTGTTAATTTTAATTCATTTTTTTTAATAATTTTGACTCGTTCAGATAATAAAGTGAGAATCATATTGTAATATATTGTGTAAATTACGTCTGTATCGTGGACTATAAAAATAGATGTACCCTAACTACTAAAAGTTGAGTTCAGAAACACACTGAATACAAAAAATATGTAAAAAAGACGAAGTATTCAGTATTTTATTTTTAAAAAAAGGTACTTAGCGATTTCTGGGCAAAAAGAAACTCCTTTGGTTTCCTGATATATGTCGTTTTTAAAATGTCTGTAGTTACATACTGTCATCAGAATAAGTGTACAACATGTATATAAGTGCTAATTTTAAAAGATAGATAAAATGTTTTGAAACAATTGACGGAGGATAGGAATGTATTGTCGTAGGATAACGTTAATATATTCAGAAATATTCTGGTCTAAACGGCAATATATTATACTGTTTTTGTAATAAACAAATAAGCCTTGACTAATCGATACAAATATATTTTAATTATTCTATTTCGCTATTATAAACATTTTTGCTATATTTTATTATATTTTTATTTAATTTTAGGCTATGCTTTTAAAGTAAAAATATATTTAAACAATGTTTAAGAAAATATATCTAGTTTAACACAGATTACTTTTCTTTAATGTCAAATTTATATTTAAACCAGTGTTTCAGTCAAGTGAATTTAGAATTGACGTTTTCATATCGAAATAATCGACAAGCATGATATAAAAATTGACACTTGAGAACAGAATTTAAATATAACTTTGAGTTTACTCTTCTATTTTGAACATTAATCCTTTATAACAAAGGAAACTGTTACTCTTCAGAAACTCTTACTTCCTTTGATTACTTAGGTACTTTTCAAAAATATAAAAATTTGATTATAATATTGGACCGTATAAACTTTGTTTATTGGAAATAAGTTTGAAATTACGTACTATGTATGTTATAAGACGGCTGGTATAGTTTGAGTAGATCAATGTACACCCGTGATGTTATTAACTACCGTATGATCAAATAAAAAACAGCGTCCAGTTTGCTCGGAAACGATGACATTCCTCATATCATTTTAAATAATGATAGTGATCTTCATTTCATAGTCATCGTTGACGTCGTTTTTTTCGATCATACGGTATATATTTTTAGATATAAAAATGTCATCGATTGTTGTATTTAGCGTAATTTTAATCCGAAAGATCAATCAATATACAGGGTGGTCCGAAGTGTATTCCCGAAACTTCAGCAGCATATTCTGCAGATAAAATTAACTAAAAAGGTTCGTATAAATGTATGTCCTAAAATGCTTAGTTTCGGAGATACAAGGTGTAGAAGTTTCATATTTATTTTTTTTAAATATTTTTTTAAATTTTTTTAAAAATTTTTCAAAAAATTAAAGTATAGTCAATATTTGGATGAAAATTGGTGTCTGGGAGTTTTTTGACACGAGAAATTTGATTTTGATATCAATATGATTCCTTGATTTGAAGAGTAATAACTTTTCGTCCGTACCCGTATAAAACTACTGAGTGAAAAAATATTCATTTCCGTGACTTTTAAAAAAAGGTCTCTTGGTAAAAATCGCTAGGAGTAATGATTCTCGAGACATAAATTATTAAAATTAAACATTGACTAAATAGTTATTAGATTGAAATCATAAATTTTAAATGTTTTTGGTTTGGTTTGGCCAAAAGTGCAATATAAACTGTTTTATGATCATTTTTTCGAAGAAAAATTTACGGTTAATTAAAAAAATAAAAAGTTCCCAAATTTATCGTTTCAGTCAAATAACTAGCTACTCAATATATATATATCGATAATGTGTGTTAACTATCAAAAAGCGACAAAACTGTGTTTTTTATTTTTATTTCTAACTCTATGGTTTTTTATGATAAAAACATAGAAAAATTTGCAAAATTAATTTCCATTTATTGCGAAAAATATCTATATTTATAGGCCGTAAATGAACAGAGGAAAGTCGCCTACACCGCACCCATAGCTGCAGGCTCACAGAAAACTTCTCTTTCACATACCTCTTTTTTGATTTAAATCATTTTAATGACTTGAGTCAATTGATATTAAGTCATTTTTGAAAAAAATGACTTAAAAAATTTAGAAAGAAAAATTTTTAAGAAATTTCAGAAAGCTGATTTAATAGTCTGAGCTAGCAACGTTTTTGAGAAATTATTTTAAGACGTCTGGCTCTTTGATATATCTTTTACTATGCTCTCTGGAACAGCATGCGGCCCGTCTGGCTGCCGATACCCGTTGCGTTCACTACTGCGCATCGGAAGAAGATAAGAAGATCCTATGTTTTTTATTAATTTAGTCCTATAAATTCTAGTATTGAATATAAATCGAACATGTCTCCATAGCGCAGTGCGTTGAGTTTCCGACCACAAACCGATGCATGATTCAGAGTTCGAATCCGGGTCAGGGCAAAGACTTTTTTATTTTATTTTCGTTTATATTCTGATAGTAAAGTATTAAATAAATCTGGTGATTCAAAAAAAAACAAATATTTAATACTTTACTATCAGAATATAAACAAAAATAAAATAAAAAAGTCTTTGTCCTGACCCGGATTCGAACTCTGAATCATCGGTTTGTGGTCGGAAACACTACGCACTGTGCTATGGAGACATGTTCGATTTATATTCAATACTGGAATTTAAAGGACTAATAAAAATATAGGATTTTCTTTCAATGCGCAGTAGAAAACACAACGTTTACCGGCAGCGAGACGGGCCGCATGCTGTTCTAGAGAGCATAGTAAAAGATATATCAAAGAGCTACACGTCTTAAAATACTTGTTTTTCCGACGTTGCTAGCTCTCGTACTATAAGACTTAATTTAAGTCTTGATTTGTGATTTAAATTTTTTTTAGAAAAGACTTAAGCCATTAAAAAATTATGTCTTATTATAAAAGGCTTAAGTCAGATATTTATATATTTTTATGATAAATTTTTAACAGCAGCATTTCTTTTTAAACAGTTAGGCGGCAGCCAAGAAGCAGAATAAAAAACAATGCTGAATACTAGTAGCAAATAAAATGTTACGTTTTCGGAACTGGCTTTAATTATTTGTCGTGTTACGCGTGCCTAGTGAGTCTGTTGTCTTTCAAGTGAATCTCCGACTCCGTTATGTAGCCCGAAAGACGAACGACAGAAATTTATTTCGAAGTACATCTTTTTGAAAAAGTTTGAAAAATTTGTAAATTTTTTAAACTTTTTGTGTAAAGGGGTAGGGTTTTGGCTACTATCCAATATTCATTTACATCCAGTACATTACAAAAGAATTGTCATAAAAGTAAATGACTTAACGACAGAATAACAGTGTCCTAGTTTATAAAAGATTCTAATCCTCTAGACAACTTTCTAATTTAATTATACGTCTATTGTATATGATCTAAATCTATATCACAATTTAAATTATCCTTAACCTTGGTATACCTAAATTTCGTTAAGAAAAATTGAGAGAGCAAGATGTACGTTTTGCATACCAACGGACACAGTAGGCCTTCGTGAAAGAAAACAGCCGTTCGGTACAGTTGGCCCCGGAACGGATCCGAATCCAAAGGGCACATGATATGGTTCATATTGATATTAGTCAACTAAAATACAAAATAAATGAAATTGAAGCCTCGTTCACAACCTCGAAATTAGCGGAATAAATTAGTGGTTTCAATTACACTTTAAAAATTTACGATCATTTACAATGTCTAAAAAAATTAGCCAACAAATTTTAGTTTACTTTTTAGTATTTTGTACGAAAAATGCATTCATATCTTTGTTAAATTTTGGGGCGTTTATAACAAATCTGACACTTAAATTAAAAACATAGTTTTAGTTTTCAGGAACATTCTATCAATAGATACTTACATACTTACGTACATATTTAGAACCACTAAATGCATATCTCCAAAACTTGAACTAATATTAAAAAAATATATTTCTTAATTCTTTCAGTTTTAGATATATTTTGGCTGTTATTATTTTTTAATTAACAAATTAAATTAGGAAAATAAAAAAAGAAATATTAAGGTAGTACTTACTATGGACACTCCTTGAAGGACGGTAAAATGATAGAAAACTAAAAAACTATAAGCTAGTACGTTCCAATTATAATCGGTGATATTTTCCACATTGTAAACGCCTGAAAATAGAATAAATTGTTATATTGAGTACTGAGTTTTCAATATGAATAAACTACCATTTTTTCTATTTGAAGAAATAATGATATGAAGTTTTGTACTATTAGACCTACATGGTTGATGGATGACATATTTTAATATACCTATTCAACAAAAATTTAAACTTTAAGCTTCTACCGGGTGCGTATCAAAAGTGGCTCACCCCTATAACTTTTTTATTTTTTCCGAGGGGTGTCTCACTCGGCTAAAAAATGTACACGTACTGCCAAAATATCCTTCCACTGCTAAGCGACTGCCAATGACTATGAAGAAGACTGCCTATGACTGCCATGTAATTATTATAGGCGACTGCCATAAGACTGCCAATGACTGCGAGCGACTGCCAAGAAAATGTACATTTAATTCCAATAGTGAGACACCCCTCGATTTTTTCATTTAAAGAAACGAGATTTGCTAGATTGACGTATTCAATTGTTTTCGGTCACATCCTGTTTCACCGGAAATGACTACAACTTTTGATTCTTAAATGGCACTTTGGCGTATTTTTTTTACTTTATTCGATAGAAAAGGACATTCTGAATAGAATGACATATTATCTGTCAACTTTGACATTTTCGCTTAATAAAAAATCGTATTTTAAATTTGATTCTAGAGTGTCATGGTTATGCTTTAAACACTAATTTTTAATCAAGGAGCCTTGGAAAAATAGATTTGAAAGTTTAATGTTTTTACTATCTTATCCTGACCGGTTAAAAGATGCCCAAATCGTGTTTTTAATCATATCTCAATTTTTTCAAATGGAACAAGGGTGGCTCATTATCAATCTGGAAAAGGCATTTTTTACGAATAATTTGATACCACAGACTTGGTATTTGAGTAAAATTTTCATTATGAACCGCATGTTATAATTTCAAATAAACCATATGCGAGAACATCAAAAGTTGACATATGATATGTCATTCTATTCAGAATGTTATTTTCTATCAAATAAATTAAAAAAATAGCGAGGGTGCCATTTAAAAATCAAAAGTTGTAGTCATTTCCGGTGAAACAGGAAGTGGCCGAAAACAACTGAATACGTCAATCAATCTTAATTTATGTCATATACTAACGTACCAAATCTCGTTTTTTTAACTGAAAACCTAAAAAAGTTATAGGGATGAGCCACTTTTCAGTTTTGAGTCGCACCCGGTATATATTATAGTAGCGTGTACCAGCGACTTCGTTCGCGTCGAATTAATCATTTGAAATGGTGATGATAAAGCAAAGCAAGAATTTCCATTAACATACAAACTGGATAAAATTTTCTCACATTTATGTCAGCATGAGAAAAAACAATATGGCGATATTATTATATAACTTGGTAATATTTGAGGGGTAGTTTCATCTCGTTGGAATTTGACTTTCGAAAAATCCGTTTGCCAAAAATAAGCTTTTTACGTCAAGCAGTTTTAGCAGAATCGTGGTTAAGAGATTACCCAACTTTTTGGAACACTCTGTATGATTTTTTAAAAAATTTCAAAATATGCAAAAAAAACAAATAAATTATGTTTGTCCAAGCGTTTTTCCGAAAGACTAACCGTTTTTTAAATAATCTTAAAATATGCAAAAAAAATAAAATAAAATATACGTGTTTAAGCGTTTTTTCGGAAACTTGACCGTTTTTTAAATAAAAAATATTGTAATATTTGAGGGGCGTTTTCACCCTCTTGGAATTTGAGATTCGAGAAACCCCTACAGTCAATCCGTTTGCGAAAAATCAGCTTTAAACGTCAAGCAGTTTAAGCAGAATCTTGATTACTCAATGGTCATATTTTATGAAACACCCTGTATAAATTTATAAAAAATCTTAAAATATGTAAAACAACAAAATAAAATATACGTGTTTAAGAGTTTTTTTCCGAAAAACTTACCGGTTTTTACCCCCTTAGAATTCGAGTTTCGAAAAATCCCTTCTTATCGAACCTCTACACCCTAAAGCCAATCTGTTTTCCAAAAATCAGCTTTTTACGGCAAGCTCTTTAAGCAGGATCGTGATTAATCAATGACCAGATTTTTCGAAACACCCTGTATACATTTTCAAAAATCTTAAAATATGTAAAAAACAAAATAAAATATATGTGTTTAAGCGTTTTTTCGGAAACTTGGATGATGCCGGACTTCGAAAACAAGTTATGCAATAGATACCCCAAAATAGGAGAAAGCATCCCATCGGAGATACCCCTAAAGCGGAGAAGATCCAAGAAGATTCGGAAGGAGAGTATAACAAAAGCAATGAGTGAAAAGAGATATTTAAACAGGCTCCTTTTTATCAAAGAGTTTATTGAAACCTTAAGAAGTACTGCCAGTATCAAAAACGGGCTAAAAAAATTGCAGTATCTCAGTAAAGAAGTAGAAATGACAAAAACAGATATGTAACTCAATGTACAATATTTCATATTGTTATTGTTTTAATTAGCTCAACTTATAGATATAGAGAATCTTCACTTCAAACCGAAACATTGTACAATACAAACTTTCAAATAAGATTTTAGTATTCAAATTCTTATTTTAATCTGAAACAATGTAAAAAAATACGTAAAAACTTACCTCCAAGTCGTAAAAGATAATAAGGCACAATGAGCATCATACAATGTTGGACCCAATAAACTGTCGCTTCAAATGGAAGCTGAAAGAATTTGAAACAGATGTTTGATTGTTGAAAGAGAAAGACCAGAAATTTCTGGTCCATTTTTTTTATAATTTTTTTCCAAACCAAACAACAATATTAAGCAAATATTAAGTATTTTATTTGACTATGAATGTCATATGTCACCTTTTAATACTTTAGTAAGTACCATTTATTTTATTACTAGTTGCGAAAAGAAAAAAAATCGTAACTGGTTGCGAAATTAATATTATAAAAACAAATTGACTTTCAGAAACATGTTCAGACACTGAACATCTTTTAAAACGTCAAAGAATTATAAAAAGTGTCACTTTATATGTCAAAATCTCTGTCCCTGCTTATGTTGTGTGTTATCTTTGGTTGTAAAGCTTCATTCAGAACTTCTAAATTAGTGGTTTCAATTAACGTAGAAGTTTATTCTTCTAATTTCAATGTAAGCATTCAGACCGTCAAAATTAGTAGTAGTAATTTTAAATTAGTAGAAAAAGTTTTTCCACTTAATTGAATTAACTTTTTCCAATTACTTAACTTCCAATTATAATTCAAAATTTGCGAGTAATGTAATTTTGACTTTTTATATCATATTTATTATTACTACTTACTATTTTTATTATCATCCGTCATGAGAAAATGTGGTTAGAAATTGAAAGTTCATTGTTTTCTAAGCTAATTATTAGGCTTTCTCTATGGATACAACTGACTACCTTACGCTGTTGCTAGGATATTCTATTAATTTTAATTGTGTTTTATAGACGTTGTGAGTGACAATAAACTCTTAACTATAAGGTATAATTAAAATCACTAATTTATTCCACTAATATCGTGATTCTGAATGAAGTGTAAGTTAAGAATAATGTTCAAATTTAATCAACATCCTTATTTGACATCTCGGATGATTCTTTCACATTCTTGATTTTTCAGGAACCGATCCTGGACTGAAAAAGTCACAATTAAACTTAGTTTATTTTAAATAATAACTATCGACAAATTTATTTGATCACGAGATGCACAAAGACATTTCGAAAGTATTTGCGAAATGAAAGATCTTTCAAAATGTCAGGATTATGAAAAGTGTCACATTGAATGTCAAAATGTGGTCAAAATTGGAAAAAAATCACATCGCTATGCGCTTCTTGCACAATTTTCCATTTTCCGTAATATGCTTTTTACAACATTCATTATCTCCGTATTACGCTATTATGTGGCCATTAACTTTACCTACCAGTCGCGTATCCGTTTCGTAGAAAACAATGGCTAGAATAGGACCATTTAAATAATTCAAATGAATTCGAAATACTGCTGTGACAGTTTTGCTGGGTTTTGCTGCCAATAAGTAAATCTAAAAGACAAAAATTAATGTAAATTATTTAAAAAAATGTTTGTATGGTATTTGGAAACAAACAGCTTCGTATATGTACAGGGTGGGTCAAATTCGACGCTTTTAAATGGAAACACCCATTTCTATAGGAGATAGACGAAAACGAATATCGGTGTCTGGAACTCAATTTTCATCAAAAACATGATGGTGAAAACCGCACATCAATATCTGTTACCGTTTCGGAGTTACCGGATGTTTTTCAAAAATGTGCATTTTTAACAAATTGCTGTAACTTTTTTGCTATGGAAAATTTTGTATTTGTATGAAAACATTTCCAAAGCACCTTTTTACGTAGAATTTAATGGTTTAAGTATAATTTTTTTTAAATTAATAATTTAGGAGTTATCAACGGAAAACTTGATTTTTTTTTTGGGACACCCTCTATATTTTTAATTAACTGAAAAGAATTTAAAATTACCTTTCCAAAAATATAGCACACTTGATATTTTGTTATAATTCCCTTCAAAATACAGAATTTTTAAAAGTTCGCCACTTTTAACTAGTAGGCTTTGGACCCCTTATTGATGATATGCCCCTTAATGGAACTCGAAAACATATTTTTCCAGCAAGACGACGCACCGCTTATGAGCGCTGAAGTTAGCAGCAAATTTTTGCATCCAATTTCAACAATAATTGAATAGCTAACCAAGATTCCAGCCGTTGGCCGTCGAAGCCGCCTGATTTAGTGCCCATGGATCTAATCCTATGGATATATTTGCGGAAAAATAAAGGTTTCTTATTCTTCCGTATAATCTAGACAAGAATTAGAAATACTTAACAGTTATGAGAGGGTATCTTTCACCCCTACTGAGTTAATGAATTTCGCGAGAAATGTTCAAAAACAGCCCCGTCTGTCCATAACAGAAGACGGTCGATATGTCGAACACCTGTAGCAAAATCTCATGTCTTGGTTTGCTATTTAGTTTTATTGTTATTAGATATAGTTTAAATGTGTGTTGATGTTGGTTAAATACATTTTAAATAGTTATAAAATTCTGAATTTCTCATAGCAAATATTATTTTCGTTTTAACTGATGCTCAAAGCTAGATTTTTTTGCATTACAGCCGGTGCCTTTCAAAGCATACTCATTTAAAGCGGGCGAATTTTTATATACTCTATATCTCGAAGAGGAATCGAGCAAAATATCAACTGTGTTATATTTTTGGAAAGGTAATTTTAAATTATTTTCAATATATTAAAAATATACAGGGTGTCCCATATAAAAAATCAAATTTTCTGTTGACAACTCTTAAATTATTAATTTTAAAAAAAATATACTTAAACCATTAAATTCTACGTAAAAAGGTGCTTTGGAAATGTTTTCATAAAAATACAAAATTTTCCATAGCAAAAAAGTTACAGCGATTTGTTAAAAGTGCATATTTTTGAAAAACACCCCGTAACTCCGAAACGGTAACAGATATCGATATGCGGTTTTCACCATCATGTTTTTAACAAAAATTGAGCTCAGCCACCGATATTAGTTTTCATCTATCTCCTATAGAAAAGGGTGTTTCCATTTAAAAGCGTCGAATTTGACCCACCTTGTACAAACAGCCAGTGAGAAAATAAATTTACTATTACTAATAAGACTAATAATAATTAGAATGAATAAAAAAAAATAAATATGTGTTAATTGAAGTTTAGATAATTGTGTAATTATTTGGATATATTAGTAAAATAATTATTTAATTAGTATTTTATTAATTACAATACCTGCATAGCGGTGGTAATGTGACAAGGATTTAAAAGGTATATTCCTGTTCTGGATGCACATTTAAAGCCAATTTCCATGCCCCAACATAGGCACACTAGAACAAGAAGGAATCTTTTGCCGGGTCTGTCTTTATCCAGTAATGGTATTGTGGGAAGGGAGCACTACAACAAGTAACACAGCTAATATTAGATAAAAATGTAAATAAGAAAATGCATAACGTGCTAGCAACTCTTACTTTTGGGTCGGTATTTGCGTGTGTGGAAGTAAATCGCATAGGGATCATATTAAGTCGGAGTGAGAGAAATGCGACGGTGTGCGGTTGCGACGTTGTCACAATTCTCCGGTACGCTTTTCCCTATCAAGTAAAGTAAAATCATGATCGCAAACCGCTTATTTGTAAAAAACCTTTTTCTTGGAAAAGATAACTAAATAAAATCATTAGATATGTTCCGAAGCATCTGAAATGGAATTATAAGGATATCGTAAGGGTGTCCATTTTTTTATAACGAGAAAACGTCAATAATCGCGATAATTTAATAACTCAACATTTTAACACATAACACGCGATAATTCAAGAACCGCTTTAGATACTCTTTATTAACTGAAACTCTTTATTTATTTTGAAGTTCGGATCTTTTACAAGATGTTTAAATAAGAAAAAATCGATAAGCTTGCTTTTTGTTAATTCAAGGTTTTTAAAAAACCCATCCATTTACTTTTAGGGCATAGCAATTTTCAGCAATCATGTAACTTTTTTATTAATAAAGATTTTCACATACTGTCTGCGAAGAAAATATATCAGAGATATTAAGAAAGTATTTGAAAAAAAACTTCAATCAATTCTTTCTAATGGATTTCGAGATATCGATGTTTGAATTCAGAGTTCTAATAGCGCGACCACAGTCGAACACCAACTCAATTCTACTTATTTTTACCAAAAATGCAAGTGTTTCTAACTTGCACTTAAAAATTTTCAAGCAATATGGAAAATTACGACTCGTTAATAAACAAAAATGTATCACGAGACGTAATTTAAATTTTAAAAACACGGCCTTCCTAGTATTTTAAGTACTGACTGGGTCGACGAATCTGCTATATTCCCTTCCACGTCTCTTAGCAATGTGCACAGCTTCTTGGTTTATTTCAAACGTTTGGCAACGTTTTTACTGTTCTCTCTTTGTTCAGTATATTATAAACGCATTATACTTGTCTTACATACGGAAATCTCGACCCAAGACTAACCTTTGCCAGCCATTAGTATAATCGAAAATGTATAATAAAAAAACAGCATCGAAGACGATCTAAAACGCGCTGTAATCGCAAATGTAAAAGCGCAGGAATACTTTTGAGGTTAGAATATTTTTTTTTCATATTTGACAAAAAAATTGCATTTTTTCTCAACTCAAGCTCTCTTTGTTCTACTTTTATTCTTATTTTTGTCTAAATAACATTGGTAATACACTTAGTTTTATAGAAAATTTGTTAATTTTGAGGGCCAAATGAAACGGATCCCAAATAGCACTAAAAATATAATATTTTTTTTTAATCTAGTGCATTTTTTTGTTTAAAATCATTATTAAAGCTATTTTTTCAAAACAAAAATACAAAAACAAAAATTATTAGAAAATTCAGTAGAACTGGCAAATCAAGTGTTAAAATTCTCTATAACGTCAAATATGTGTCTAATATTTTTAAAATATTTTGAAATTCCGTGCATAATCCGCATTTTTTTTATTTAAAATTAATACTAAAAATGGTTACTTTTTGATAAAAAAAGGAAAAATTTAAAAACCGTGTGTCAGGATAGTTCACTGGACCCACAGTAGGTGAGGGCATGTTAAATTTTTATTATCATATGTTTTCAAAAGGAATGTTTGAAAATATATGACAATAGGATGACAATACAATTTTTTTTATATATATAGAACGTGAATCATAGACACAAAAATTATGAAAAATTTATAGCATAAGGCTTTATATGTACCATAATCTCAAAGATAAAACATAATAACGAACAGCATTAATAACTAGTTATATTAGCTTACTTTAGGGAAACTCCAACAGAATAAATATAGAGTGGCTATTAATATTAGCATGGTTTCAATTCGCCGCCAAGTTATGTTAACATAGTTAATACATTCCGGTCCAGCATATTTTGTAATTGACATGTCTATTCCTCCTGCTGCACAATCCATGTTTTCTAATCTACAAAACAGTAAATAAGTTCAATTATTAGTTAAATAAGTGTTTTGCTCAGTAGCTACTCCTTTCCAAATAGTGATGAAATATTGTATCAAAATGCACAGTAAACAATTTATCCGAATGGAAATTTTGCTTGTATAAAAAATAGTTATTTAACGAAATATTTATATAGAAATAAAAATTGTATAAAATAAAACTGTAAATTTTGATGGGAATGACTGTCAAGAGTGACAGACGGGGGTAGAAAGAGGGAACCTATAATTTTGAAGTCAAGTCATGAAACTATGGCAGCGAATTATTTGGTCAAAAAACGATAGGTTAAGCGTTATAATATGGTAATCGCAAAACAATTTCCGATGCACGTGATCAACTTTGAGTGACAAGCGATGGCGACAGCGCTGCCAGATTGTGATGGAGTTATGAGATGAATCTTAATTTAAAATTGACAAACAACATATTTATTATATCATTTTTTATAGAGTTTTACGTTTTATTTTTAATTTAATAACTAATATTTTAGTGATTAATTGATTTATTTGTTTTATATCTTATTTTACTTATTACATATTGGCAAAAACTAGTCCATTATGAAGATTATTATAAGCGTTACTATGGGTTATTCTATTACAATAAATAGAGACAAGAGGAAAACTTTTTTATTATTGATATTTTGAGAAAAAATCATTCTTCATAAAAATTTTACAAGGGGCTACAACAGTAAATAAAAGCAAAAAAAGCAAGAAAAAATATATTATTAGTTAATTTTAAGTGAATTTCATAAATGATCGGTTTACTATACTATACAGGGTGAGTTTCCTATGATGTTCTCTATGGGTATCTCGGAAACTACTGGAGATAAGAGAGTCGGTTAAATGGGGAAAGAATTGCAGTTTTGTGGGGTCATAAATATGCGCCTTTCAGATTTTTAAAAAAGTTCATGGATTACTAGATATTTTGTAAAAAACAAATATCGGCTATTTTAAAAATTGTCCCTAATTCCATTATAAGCTATTTTAGACAAAAAGTTTTCCGATAAAAGTTATAGATAATCACATCCTTAATGAGACTGTGTCCTCCGATTTTTTCCAAAGCCTGTCACTTTTGACATATGACACAAACATATGTTTTTTTAAATGGAACCCATAGTTGGCCATGACTTCATAAAAAGCGCCATTTTCTAAGCTTTTTAGTGATATAAGCTATAATATCTTTTCTTCGAAAAATTACTGAGTTATAGCCAATTCTTATCATTTTTAAACAATATTTCACTTAGGTAGCCATGGAAACAAGTTTAATCGCCCTTGCTCTCAGAAATGTGAAGCTGTCACGTCCAAACTTTAAAAATTAAAATAAATAAAATATCTTACAACGCCATAAGTGGTAATAACAAGTAAGGGGGGTGCTATTAATGCACAAACTAATAATCACAGAATTTAATAAAAACTAACTTTGAAAGTGGTATAATGTGCTATCAAACTTACTTTTCTGATTGCAATCAAAGGTAATAAAAAACCTTTATTGTTACATTCTCGTTTAAAATAGTTAAACAAAAACAGGAAAGCTACAAGCTCTTTGCTTCGACTCGTTAAATGCTTCGGCATATTTTCAACACACAATTTCAAGAAATGCAATACAAAAACTCGAAAATTTAGTTCTTAAAAGAACTGAGTGTTTAAAAGTGCAATTTTTAAAAAAAGACTATGAAAATATAATAATAAAGGATAATTGTGAAATAATAAAGGACAACATTGCTGAACACGGCGCGGCGCAATGTGACCAACATAGCGATAATAAAATTCGGTTTAAACTAACTTTTGCAGCTTTAATCTAAATAAAATATCTGTTACAATCATTTGTTCTATGAAGTAAAGTTATAAAATGAAAAGCTGTTGGGTATCTTAAATTATACAACAAATTTAAACATTTTTACAAAAATTTCATTTAGTCAGGTTTATAGACTTTAGTGTCAATGTCGAACGATGACGTGCTTCGGAAAATGTTTTGCGATTACTATAGGTATCTGTGTTTCTCTTTGGTTAAATTAAAGCATATATTTTATAGAACCCTAGGAATAGGTGATGACGTAATTTTTGTTTAATATTTCTTTTATATTTGTAAAATATTCGATACCTATGTTGTTTTAATGCAGCTGAATATAATTTTATTTTATAGAAACATAATCTGTAAGGTGTTCTACTTGAAATACTGAAGAAAAATTCATCTACTTTTGACACACCCTGTATATACTGTGTAATAATTATTTATAACTGTATTCTAGAACATTTTCGAATAATCTATACGGACAGTAATAAAATATTTGCAACTCAAAAATCTAATTTTATAAATTTAGGAGAGCTTTAGACGTTCAGGAAATGTACAATACTATAATAATAAAGTTGTCATATTTGAAAAAATACTCCTCAATATATACAGAGCGGTCAACAATGATTGAATTAGTTGTGTGTTAGTAAATTTTAGGATTAGTGATTGGTACTAATTCTAAATCAAGTCACTGACGTTCTTTGGCTTTTTTATATTCTTGAAAATTTAAGTTTTGACTTTGTTATTTTGCAAAATCGATTTTTTTTTTCATATAATAAATTACCATTTTTCAATACAACTCTAGGGTTCAAATTTAGAAAGAAATATTTTCATATTTACGGCTAATTTTCATCCTGGCGTTCAAAAAATAAGGTTAGAATTGAACAGCAACCGTTCAATTATTAGCATATTTAAAAAAAGCATTTATTACGAATAATTTATTACCACACACTTGGTATTTCGATTCAAATTGTCGTTATGAACTGCATGTTAAAATTTCAAATAAACCATACGATAAAATGTCAAAAGTTGATATTTTGTCAACAAAAATGCATTCAGAGTGTCATTTTCAAAACGAATTTTAAAACATTTTATTCAGAGTGTCATTTTTTAACGAATAAAGTAGAAATATACCGACGGTACCATTTAAATATCAACAGTTTTGTAGTCATTTTCGGTGAAACAGGAAGTGACCAAAAACAATTTAATATGTCAATTAATCCTAATTTATGTCATATGCTAACATAGCAAATCTCGTTTTTTTTATCTGAAAAAAAGTGATAGGAGTGAGCCATTTTTGAGACGCACAGTTTGATATAATCTTAAAAACGAATAAAATATAACCAGCGATTTTTCTTTCAGTTAACATGATTACCTGAAATGACCCGAAGAAGTGACAATTCTATTCTGTGAAATAAACAATATATCCCTCACAAAAAGTTTAACAGTCTGCTTAAATTTAACTAAACAATAATAAATAATTTTTAGTAAGCATTAATAATAAAAACAAAAAATCAATCTTTGTACTCACTCACTTCGCTGTCCACTAATCGCATTAATAAATTATAAACTTACCGATATTATTTTTCAAAATCAATAAAGAAAACCTTGAAGTATAAATCTATCATTAATAAAACATAATCTAAATAAAACCTTACCTTTTTTGATATAAATATATCCTTCCTGGAACCTAACACTGCTGACCCAATACCATTTGATCTTTCATTTCTATATAATTCCAATTGGAAGCATTTCCAGACATTCTGACGCCTTCGGAAACTAAACTAAACTTCGATACCTATCTTCTATATATTGATAGAAAGAGACAAAAGGTAAAAGTTTGAAACAAAGATTAAACTTTTCTTATAAATCCTCGTTTTCTTTGGATCTCAAATAACTTTCGATAACGCTAAAAAACTTTTTTTAAAGATAAAAACACGGTTTTGAAGATTAAAAGATGATGCAATACGCACTGCGGGTTAAATTTTTGGCAAATTTCCAGAAGAAACTTTGTTATGCATAAATAAACGAAACTAGGTTAGAATTATACCGATATCGAAGTATCCACATAACATTATCTTATGTTGGCAGGATAATCCGGAGAAATAGCAAAACAGCATGATATCCAGGACACTTCCGTTTACATACTAATGACGGCTATGAGCTATTTCAGTGCTAATTACAGGGGAAATATAACCTTATTTTCGTTGGATCGTAATAACAAACCGTAGGTACGTAGGCGGTCTATTTATAAATCTGGAAAGGCTGGAAACCCGCAGTCTAGCCGAGCCAGACTGCACTTGGAAAAAAATAGGTTTAACGCCATCTGTCTTCAACGCAATAAACGAATATACGGTGAAACTCTTTCCGGGCTGTTCCGGGCTATATCGATTGGATTTCCTACAAAATCAATGAGGATAGAGGTTTCTAGGTGAACATATTTTCTACGATATAAATATTATTTAGATAGTTTGGTTGTAGATGGCAATATGATAAAGAGTAAGGAATAAAGAAAAGTATAGTTGTAACAGATATTTAATAATAGATATTTTAAATAAGTATCATAAGTTAACTATTTTTTTTTAAATATGTAAGTAGTATACAATCGTAGAAAGAATCAGAGTTGGCTTAGAAATGAAGATCGTTACCATTATTGTATATAGGTATACCGTATAATCGAAAAAAAAACACATCCAGTTGGCTTGGGAATGACCATCGATGACATTCCCCATTTAATTTTACATATAAAATGACAGCGATCTTCAGTTCATAGCCATCGCTGACGCCGCTTTTTTTCGATCGTATAGTATAATTCATTGATCATTATTTTCAAGCCTACTTGACGCCATTTTTTTATCATATTGGTATTTGTGATGTGTGAAGTTCAGTATACTGTTCTTCTTTCACACTTCACATAATATACTCTTTGATCTCTTCCACAAAATCATTAACGATTAATTTTGAAATAATTATTTTTTGTGTTTCTATCACATGAACAAAAGGAACTTTGGAACTCTTTTTCATTTGCCAATTAGGACGGCAATCTCCCAACTCCATCTATTAACCAAGACCATCGGGAGGGGTCTTATCCCTCCATCCCCCTTTTTTATTCGCTTTTTATGTTAGCATCATGATACGGTGATTAATCAACAACTGATAAAAATTGACTTGGTGAGTTTATGCTGTAAAAGAATATTTGCTTTGAGTGAGAATTCTAATGAATTCGGTTAAAGGTAGGTTCGTATACACGCGAATTGCAAAATGTGAATTGCGAATTTACGTAGTTCATAAAACAACGAAATTCGCAATGAATTCTAGGGATATTTGTGTTTCTAAACACATGTTGAAAATGTCACCTAATTAAAGAATTTTATTTATAAGTTTATTTTGTGTAATTGATGAAGCTACTTAATTTTTTGACGTAGATCATGATCTATTGCTATAAAGCAATATACGGTATACACCGGGTGCGTCTCGAAAGTGGCTTACCCCTAAAGCTTTTTTATTTTTCAGATAAAAAACTAGATTTGGTATGTTCGTATATGACATAAATTAGAATTGGTTTTTGGTCACTTCCTGTTTTGCCGGAAATGACTACAACTTTTGATTTTTAGATGGCAATCTCGATATATTTCTTCTTTATTCGATAGAAAATGACACTCTCAATAGAATGACATATCATGTGCCAACTTTTGACATTTTCTCTTAAAAACAAATGCTATTTTAAATTTCAATCTAGGGTGCCATGGCTATGTTAAAAACACTAATTTTTAATCAAGGAGCCTGGGAAAAATAAAGTTGATCGACTAATGTTTTTCGTGTTTTGTTCTGGCTGGTTAAAAATGCCCAAATCGTATTTTTAATCATATCTAAATTTTTTCAAATGTAATAAGGGGTGGCTCATAAGCATATTTGAAAATATTTGAATAATTTAGTACCACACACTTGGTATTTCATTTGGTCAAATTGTCGTTATGGATCACATGTTACAATTTTAAATAAACCATATGTGAATATGTCATTCCATTCAGAGTGTCATTTCCTATCGAATAAAGTAGAAATATACCAAGGGTGCCGTTTAAAAATCAAAAGTTGTACTCATTTTCTGTGAAACAGGAAGATGACAAGAGACAACATGTATTATAACTTAAAAACTCAAAATTCGCAACAAATATTCGCAAAAATTAAATCAGTGTTAATATTCCCGCTCCCCAGATTTTAAATTATGCGAATTCGAATATTAAAACAACTTTCTTTCAATTTTGCCGCCTCCGTATTTTTTTTTTGATATAGACCAATAACAGCAATATTCGTAATTCGCGTGTATGTGAACCTACCATAACACAAAAGCACTAACTAAAATGTACTTGAACAGGCGACACCATTTTATTTAACTTCATCTCCGTATATTTCTTTCTTCCTCTCTGCCACCCCGTAAACAAAGAAAAGCCCGAAGCAGCAAAACCCCAAATCTTAGAACTGAGGTTTATCCTGTGGAAACCGTGAGAAGCGGTCCAGGTGTCCGCAACGCCTACAGACAGGACAGAACGATACGTCGACAGCCATTTACACACTCTCGGACAAACTCTCCCGTTAGATTTATTATCGTTGCTCTGAATTCCCATTTCTGGCGAAATCCAAGACGTAAAATATGGAAGGACCGCAAATCCGGGTCGGACGGGAAAATGTTTCGTCACATTCAGGAATGAAAAATCTTGTTTCTTTATATCGTACTTTTATTTTTGTTTTTAAAGCGATCATTTTACTTGAACATAACTGTTTCGTCTCATAAAAAGTCCATTATTTAAAGATAGTGAATTTTATATACAGATGGTAGGTCTATTTGTCTTCTTTGTTCTAATCATGTTCTAAGTAAGATGGCTTCCATGGCTCTATATAATCATAATTATAAAAGGATAATCTACTACTTCGATTACTAAGTAAAAGTAAACCGTGCACTTGAGAACAATGTGTATTAATAAGTAAAATATGTTGCCGTGCAATTGCCAACTCATTACAATTATTATAGAAATAAAAATCATAGTATTGATACGGTCATATGTTGCGAGGTAATTGATTAGATATTAGAACTCAATTAGATATTTATATAAAGTGTGTTTAAACTGGCCTATTGCTCTAATTAAATTAGTACAATTTGGTAAACCATTGAAATTTTTTATACAATTATAGTGGACTCCACCTTCATATAGTATAAGCTATTATTTAGTCTTCTTGTTGTATATCCCAAGTAGCATTTGGACGTTATCTAACGTCGGGTATACGTCGCGTTCAATAAACCCGACGTCGGGTACCAACGTCTGTTCTACCGCCTTATTTGCACCTAAATGGGGAATACAGATTCGGGTCGCCTGGACGTCGGTATCTGACCTAATAGGGAATGTAATTCTACCAATTACCAACGTCATATTACGTTGGATTTTAGTTACTTAAAATTCGTCGCTAAGCACTTATGTTACGTTTGGTTTCATATTCGCTACCAAGAATACATAAAAACCTAACCAAACTACCTAATTACAAATGGATTCATAATCACTCCTCGAATATCGAAGATAAGTGCCTATCTAATTTCATATTATAATAATTCTGAATCATTAATCCAGACATCAGTTTTGTCAACGGAAGTCACTTTCTTGATATATCTGATTAAAATACTCCGGAAAACAACGAGCGCCTTCAAAATTAGGTAGATTTATGAAATAAAAATATCTATAAAAAAGTAACTCGCAAAATATTTTTTAATTTTCCAGCTGGTTTAATCATAAAATTGTACTGTGGTTCCCCCAAACTCAACCTTATCAATATTCTACTAGAAATCGAAATGTGAATATAAATTTTAAAAACAAAAACGATTTTAAAATGGCTGACAATCGGATACGTGTTAAGAATGGCGGATTTCTGTGTCCGACTTAATATGAACTACCAATCTACCAATTCCGACCGGGTCTCCAACATTAGTCGTCTCACACGACCGAAGTCATCAAACCGGACGACCGGCAACCGTATTATGACGTATATAATTCCAACGTACGCCACGTAACCTCACTTTGCGTTTTGCGTATCAGTGATTTGTGCAACTATATTTTAGTTTTAGTTTTCTCGTTAAAAAAAATGGGCAGCCCCTTTTTTAGCCCAACCTCACATGTCGGAAGAGGATGGGGTCTGCTGGTATCCTAAGCTAAAAAATGAAATTAAGATGCACCAGTGTAATGCAGCATCACTTCCGGATAAAAAGCATTTACGGGTGGAGGCAAGACATCACTACTACTATTATTATTTTGCAAAAGCCTCGACCTCTTTCTGTAAAATGTAGATGAATGTCTAAATGCCTTTTTAGTGTTTTTTTAGGCATAATAAAATATTTAAGTTTGTTTACAAAAACTTTTTATTAGGTTGTGTTCATGATGTTCATTAGGTCGCAAATGCTACTTAATGGGTTGTATTTACGGACATAAATAGAGATACGTAAATTAGGTTATAAATATGAACATAAAATACAACAAAATATAATTGGACGTTACTTTAGGGATTATCAGTGCGACGTATCCTATTCGGACAACGGGTAGACGTCGGGCTAGTTCAAGTATTTGTACGTCGTGCAAGCAAACCTGGGAACGACGTTGGAAAATTAATAACAATGGTACGTTGTTATTTTGTACGTCGACAGATCGTTGGATTTACCGACTCAGATCCAACGACGTCGCTTTTAATAGGAAAGCGACGTCACAGGTCGTATCACGAGCACCCGATCTAAATTTGCACAAAGTCTGACGTCGCTTCAGGTCAGATTTAGTTCGAAGTCAGATAGATGCTGCTTGGGATGTTTTTATGGGGTTTGTTTTGTTGGAAAAGTATTTGATTCTTAAAGAAAAACCAAGAGCATCTTTTAATGAAAATTGCACTGACAGTTAGTAGATTATAAGTTTTGAATTTCTCCCTACTTTATCCCGAATTTTCATGTTAAGCATCGTACGTAAAGCTCTTTTTTGAGTTATAAATAGCTTCTGCTAATGCAGATGTGTGTAGATGTGTGTAGATCGGAATAAAATACCTAATGAATGGAAGTTAGCCTATATCACTTCTATATATAAAAAAGGGAACAGAAAAGACCCGAATAACTACAGAGGTCTTAGTGTGAATTGCACCTTCAGTAGACTTTTTACAAAAATAATAAGGAATAAGTTAGAAATATCTACTTACAACAAAATCAGTGAAGAGCAGAGTGGCTTTACTGCAGGGC